CGGACTCCAGGCTGAGGTTTTCAGAAAGGTCTGACCCACCTCATCCGCGGTTTCTGCCTCTAAAAGCTGTGCATTCAGTTTCCGAAATACCACAGCTAATCCAGGCTGCTTTTTTTTTTTTTTTCCCCGCAAACCATGAGATTCCGGAAAAATAACAGAGAACAAACAAGCCCCAAAGATACTCATGACATTGTCAATTATTGTCTGATTTTGAACCCATGTCACAAGAGCAATGCTTATCCATCAGTATTTTGAATTTCTGGTAATCCATGCTCAGATCAGACTGTGGCTAGAATGGGTCTTGTGAGTAGACCTGGGGAGGAGAGAATCCAAATATTGATTTTGCTTGGCTTTTTCCTAGGCTTTAATGCGATTAGCAAAGAGCACCAAATATTAGCTGATGCACCTGCATAAGTAGTTGTCAAATAACTAGTGCTTCAGTCACTGCTAGACAAAGACTGAGTTTGAACTCACTGGAAGGAGGAAAAAGCTTTTCCTTCTGTTTTCCTGTTTGTGGCATCAACCAGTCCTTAAAGCCATTGTAAAATCGCTTGTCAGTAGGAATGTTTGGAAAGTATTTGTGTTACGGTGTTTTCTGTGCCATTTTGCTCAACCCATTTGGGATGTGCATTGTGATACTTTTTTTTGCAGGCAGTTTCTAGTTCATATTTTCTTTTTTTAATCAGGCAGAGACATTACAATTAAAATACCGTAAAAGCGATTCTGGCAGTATTGCAATAAGCATGTTTTTTAATTAAAGAAAGAACATGGGATGTACAAATAGTATCAGCTAATGGGAAATTTCATCCAATGTATTTTTTAATTGAGATTTAAAAGGAAGAAAATTCAGCCCCATTTCTCTCTGTCACTGTGTGATATTTTCCTACGTTGTCACAGTGAGGTGTACCAAGTCTGCAATAATTACAGTCCCAGAGCCTTCAAGTCCTGTCTGTTTTCATGGGAAAAAAAAAAAAAAGAAAGGCATCAGTTCTTTAATTTGTTGGTATATTTTTTGCAGGAATTCAGTGTATTCAGTAGAGTGCAACTCTCAGAGCTGGTCATTCCTGGAGGAAGGGTTTTAAGGCCCTAAAATCTGTAGTAATTTGGTGGTTTTTTCAGCTGTAAACCCTGGTTCATGTTTGGGTACGGGCTGCAGGTTTCTCTTTCCCATCATGCTTCGGATGAGCTTACAGCATGTACATTAGACTCCGAGGGCTCTTGCTTGCCAATGGAATCGATTTTCTGCAACTTCAGTAGCTCTTGAGACTCCTCTGGGGCATTGCAGGATGAGCAGATCAGTGGAAGTTAATCCTGGCTGAGGAACTAGCTCCTGAAGAGAGTGGGCTGAAACCTGAGGCAGCACTGTCCTCTTCCTTCACTTGCTGGCATGGAAGGAGGGGATGGGCCCCTTTCAGGGAAGCAGATGCTCCTCTGACCAGGGAATGGAAAGATCTACTGAGTCTGTCTTCACCTGTCCTGGGCACTAATCAGATCGCCATTACAGTAGCAGCTTTGTACCGTTAGATCTGGCCTCCCCCACTTTTATGTGGTACAGAAACATAGTTGTCATGACCTGGCCAGGCTGGGAGCTGAGGTCCCGGTCTTCTTAAGGTTTTTAAATGTAAATAAATACCTTCAAAGGCATGAGTCTGTATCATGAGCTCAGAACTACAGAGGAAGCCTACTATGTTAGAGGAATGCATGTAGGTTTCTTAAGTTTTGAAGTACCCCCGCTTCCTCTGACGGCTTGACAGACTGTGTATTGCAATAGTTTTGTGGTAAGAACAGGCTGTCACTAAGACCAAGGTCCAATCCACTGTGCTAGACATGAGGAGATAAACCATATCTATAATCTCTTTAAATTCAAGTGGCAGAAATGAGCTT